CCACACTCTCTCTCTCTCTCTCACACACACACACACACACACTCACACTCTATCTCTCACACACACACACACACACACACAGTTCAGTTTTTAAATTTTGGGAGTCTTCAGCAAATCAGGGTGAGATGAAAGTTTGCATTATGGTATGGTACCTGGTATGAGAGCATCTTTCCTGCAGTCGTACAGCATCCCCAGTTGGAAGGATCTCCCTAGAGCTGCTGTTTCAATCACAGTCACTCCTACTGTAGCCATACTGAACACACAAGAACAGGCAGAAAAAGGCCTGTTTGCTGCAAATGAAGAAGTGTTTAAACAAGTCTTGACATCTGGAGGTTCCACAGTCCTGACAGACAGACCTATTTTAAAAATGTCGTCTGTTTCAGTTTGTCATCAGAATATTGTGCTTACTTTACATATACTTGTTTATATTTAATGTGTTGTCAAATGTGGAAGAACAATTAAATTCCCAGATTGCATTTGCTGATAAATAGTACAGTACAGTAAATAAATTCCACTTCATGTGTGTTGTGGCCAATTAGAATTCATAAACTGAAATGGAGCCAAATCTTTTGGTTCTGACCTTTGTACAACAATATAAACTGCTATAAACAAGTTTGCACTTGTTCTGTTCAGTGTTACTGTAAGAAAGAAACTGTAAACTCAGGTTAGTGTGGGAAAAAGACACTTTACTGTTATCAACTATTCAAATCTTTTATTTTGTCATATTTGTGGCACCTTTAAGCGTGAATCCTGTAGACTGATCACAATGTTCACCTTTCACTCGTCAGGAACCTGTCTGATAAAAACAGAGCCAGAAATGGACTTTTAAATGGATTTAACAACACGTTTATTTGGTTTCAGTCTGGCGTTTATTAGATGTCACAGGTTTGCATAAGTATGTTTTAAAGTTGTTAAAAGAAGGAAATGTTGTAGTTCATTACTTGTAGTTTAATGACACTCTACATATTCAAGAGCAAAATAAATGTTGCATACTCAGGCTGTGTCCGTGAGTTTTCTCCTCTCCTTTGTCTGGTTTACCTTCACTTTCACTTTCTCATGAATGTGTTTAACCAGAGATCTGAGTTTACAGTCAGAGGAGCTTGAACACCAGCATCTAACCAGACACTAAGTTTCTGCGCATGCTCAGAGGAAATAGTTCTATTTTAATTTGATTTTTTTTACAGTTCTAATCTTGAACACCTTCAATTATTTAAGCATCAGTTATCATGCTAGATAAGATTTATTTGTGGAAAGAGTCAATAAATGTATTATTAGTTTATAATTCGCCTCATGGATGGAGAAAATCTTCAGATTGCAGACCCTTGCCTCAGGAAAATATTATTATATTATTATTTCAAATCAAAATATGAGCTTCTGTTATGAAACAGGACATTGATTTCATACATGTCCACTGTAGAGGACACCAGGACTTAAGGCATGTTTATTACACATTTTGGGAGACACAACAAATGAATAGAGAAAAAAATATGTATCAATATTAGATATTATGAAAAATCTTGCTAATTATTACTCCCATTATTGCACTTATTTGTTCATTCTATGTTGCCCCAAAAACACATTAATATGCAAATTAGACAGTTTATAGATGCATTGTATAAAATGGAAAAACTTGTTTATGGCCATTTCACACATTTTGCATGAATAAAAATGGTTTTACATGACAAAATACTCTTTGGCCGATTGGCTGACGAACGTTCTAAGGTGTGTAAATTAATATATATTGTAATACTTAGATTTTTTTAATTACATGTTATATTAAAAGTATTATTTAGATTATTACACTTGTAATCAAATATACATTATTAAATATTTAAAATAAAATAATTTGCTAATATGTTGTCTCTTTATGAATGCATGCTGGTTTACACTTAAAAATTAAACAATATAGTACACACACACACACAATGTTTTTGTTAATCAGCAGAAAATATCTATATTTATTTTGTCAGGTTTAATCACTAAAGCACATCTTAAAAGTTGAGACATGCAAATCTAACATATTCATCTGTAAACATGATATGAGGGTAAAAATTGGCAGCATTTCTACAGGTCAGAGGAGAATACTGAGAAGAGCACAATAATTCAGTCACAATTCAGTAATAATTCAACGGCAGACACTCTAACAAATCAATGATTCTGGAATAAGGAAACAACAGCTAAATAATGACAGAAAAGATTATAATACACAAATAGCCAAAAAACAGTCTGCACAACAGAAAGATGAAAATATTGTGTCCAAAAACCAGAAAATCAACTGCAAGATCATTCAGAAACACATTTCTCTATTTCATCTTTTACACAAACTCCATCCAGCCGCGTCAAACGTGCACAACCGTCGAAATATAAAGAAGCAAATATTATAACAGGCCAGTTGTTAAAAACGAATAAACACAAGACAAAGGCACAGCAGACGGGCTAAAGCACGAGCACAACATCTGTTCTTTAACATTTCAAGATGAATGTAGTTCATAAACACTGATGATCTGTTAATAACGTGTTCTATGCAGCATATAAATGCAGTTATGAGTTTGACGGGATTTATTGGCTCAGAGGTATGCAGGGTTAATGTGGCATGAGGATGAGGATGATGATGAGGATGAAGGGAGTGAGCAGCCGTTCAGAATCCGGTCTCCATGCTCAGTGTGCGGCGCGTCACATGCTCGATCTCTCCGGTCACATACTCGTCAAAACTGGTCTGATATTTGGCCAACATCTTGAGCATGGGCCGCAGATTGAGCCACCACTGCTCTTGTGGCATCCGGTGTCTGCAGAAACACACACACACACACACACACACACGCACATACGCGCACACACGCAGAAAAACGCAGACACAGACAGACAAACACACAAACACGCACACACAGACGCGCTCACACATGCACACACAAACAAACAAACACGCAGACACATGCGCAGAAAAATGCACAGACACAGGCGCGCACACACACACAAACACACGTGCGCACACACACACACACAAATATCATCCACAGATACTAGAACGCAGAGATGCAAACAGGTGAGAAGATTGCACAGATCCACATGGAATTTCTTTGAAAAATATTTGCTTTACATGCTGTTTTGTAGCTACTTTAAGTTTTTATTTGCTTATTTTTTTTATTACCTTATCTGTGACCCTGGAGCACAAAACCAGTCATAAGGGTCAATTTTTTGAAATCGAGATTTATGCATCATCTGAAAGCTGAATAAATAATCTTTCCATTGATGTATGGTTTGTTAGGATATGACAAAATCTGAAAATCTGGAATCTGAGGGTGCAAACAAATCTAAATATTGAGAAAATCATCTTTAAAGTTGTCCAAATGAAGTTCTTAGCAATGCATATTACTAATCAAAAATGAATTTTAGATATATTAACAGTAGGAAATTTACAAAATATCTTCATGGAACATGATCTTTACTTAATATCCTAATGATTTTTGGCATAAAAGAGAAATGTATAATTGTGACTCATACAATGTATTGTTGGCTATTGCTACAAATATACCCCAGCAACTCAACACTGCTTCTGTGCTCCAGGCTCACAAATGTCCAAAAAAACTAATTTTTCTCACACAAAAAAAAGTTAACATCTTGTTGCAACATTTTACAAAATCAAGATTGAATATATTTGGTCTAAATCCCATGTTATAAAAGATGAAGTGCTATGCAGGTTATTCAAGACAATATTAGCTGATTAGACCTAAAATGCATGTTTGCCCTCTCACTCTCTCTCTCTTCTTTACCGTTCACACATCTCAGACCTCAAACACATCAAATATTACCCTTTTAGATGACTAACATTACCCTTTTGAATTAGATGACTAACTTTTTAAGACTAAGAGTCTAAACAGTTTATGCAACCGGCCCCAGTTCTTTATTTACCCTTGCTCCCGGATGACGTTCATTATTCATGAGGTGAGATATATTTAGTCACGTGACTCTTACTCAAAGTCGGTGTGCGCTTTGAGTTCGGTGACGGGACTGAAAGACATCACTTTCTTCTTCATGCCGATCACGCAAGCCGTATCTGGAGCGTTCGCAAACACACGGCCTGCGATTCACAAGCAAACAGATCTTCACTCATCATCACTCATATTAATAATATCGAATCCATTCATTTAAATGCATTTGAAATTAAGGTTTTATCAATAAGGAACGTTTTTCTACTGTTACAGTTATTCAGAAAACATATAATAATAAATATCATCAGGGTTCTAAGATTCATTCTGAAGTGATCCACCAAAAAGAATAGACTCTTTTTTTATTGCTTATGATGAGTAAAACTTGTGAGCATGTGATTGACTATAGAAATGCATACACAAAAAAAAAATCCCTATTTTACCCTTTCATAGTATTTAACATACAGTTCCCTCGATCTGTCGAGCTCTATCACTATCCCGGGTCCCTATAAGGAGAATAATGATTATCGTCCAGTGGCACTTACTTCAGTACTAATGTCTAAAGTCTAGTTATTCAGAAAACATATAATAATAAATATCATCAGGGTTCTAAGATTCATTCTGAAGTGATCCACCAAAAAGAATAGACTCTTTTTTTATTGCTTATGATGAGTAAAACTTGTGAGCATGTGATTGACTATAGAAATGCATACACAAAAAAAAATCCCTATTTTACCCTTTCATAGTATTTAACATACAGTTCCCTCGATCTGTCGAGCTCTATCACTATCCCGGGTCCCTATAAGGAGAATAATGATTATCGTCCAGTGGCACTTACTTCAGTACTAATGAAGTCTTTTGAGAAAATTATGATTAGCTTTGTAAAAACAGAGGTCAGCTTTCAGACCCATTTTGCATAAAGGAGCAATAGAAGTACAGATGATGCTGTTATAGCCATGACACATTTCATAAATAGGCATCTAGAGGATTCTAGCTCGTATGCACGTCTTTTACTTGTAGATTTTAGCTCCGCTTTTAATATGCTGCAGCCGTATCGTTTAATTGTGAGGTTGAATGATTTTAAAGTTCACCCTTTTATTATAAAATGGTACTATTCTTTAACCAATCGCAGACAGCAGGTCAGTGTTAATGGAACACTGTCTGAATCCAGAATTTTGAGCACCGGTGCCCCTCAAGGCTCTGTCAGCTCACCGGTTGTGTTTTGTTGTTGTAGAAGGTGTTATTCTAATAATTACATCATTCAATTCTCAGATGATACTGCAATCTTAGGTTCATTGAAAAAGAACGGGGACTTGTCTGAATATTTTTCAGAGATTGGAAGGTTTGTGAATTGGTGCTAGCTCTGAATGTCAATAAGACAAAGGAGTTGGTGATCACAGGCACAATCAAACCATCATATAATAGCTTAGGTTACAACAAAAGTTGCACTTTTTACGTCGTCTGAGAATTCATGGTGTTGATCAAAAGTTTATGATAATCTTCTATCAGGCAGTCCTTGAGTTTAATCAGGTACTGCATCACAGTCCGGTCTGGTAATCTGAACTAAACTGTTCCGGATGATTCACGTTGCTTGGAAAATGATTGGTGTTAAAGAACAGACATCATTGCAGACTATTTACAAACAGGCCACTTTAAGGCAAGCTAATAAGATTGTCTGAGATCCATCCCATGTCTGAGTTGTTGACCTCTGGGAGGAGGTTTAGAGTTCCTCGTTGCAGATTGAATAGATTTAAAAACTCATTCATTCCTGTGTCTATAAAGCTGTTAAACAGTGGCAGTATGGAGCTGTAATTAAGTGTTTTTGTTGTTGTTTTTTGTATACAGTATCAGGTTTGTTTATGTCTTTATTTATCTATTTGTTTACTTATTGCTGTGTTATTGTTTGTTGCTATTGTCTGTATTTGTTGATAATTGTGTGTTAATTGTGAGTTGACGGCAGCATGCGTGATGGGCCCAAGACAAACTTCCCCACATGTGGGACAATAAAGTTTACCTTACTTTACCTAGTAGTAGATTAATTTTTTTAATACTTCTATTTTAGATTTAACTTCAATCTTTGTCATTTTGTTGTGCTTTTATCATTTATTTATTAGTTCTTTAAAAAACAAAACATTTTAATTTAACTTTAATATTTTTCAGTTTTAGGTTAATAATTTTATTTTGTGCTTATAATTTTTTTTATTAGTTTTCAATACATTTATTTTAAACTTTAGATCTAGTAATTTTGTTATGTGCATTTATCATTTTTATTAATTAAAAAAAAAGTCTAGCTTTCATTTATATATATTTTTCAGTTTTAGTTAATTTATGTGGTTTTATCATTTTTAATAATTTGGAAAAAATTGTGTTATTTCAGTTTTACTTCTAGCAATCTTGTTGTGCGCTTCTATAATTTTTATCTTTTTATATTTCTATTTAACTTTCATTTAAATTTATTTAAGTTTTAGTACTTTTAGAATGCAATTTTAGCATTACAAATTTTTTTTTTATTTAGCTTTAATTTTATATTTATTTCAGTTTTAGCTTTAGTAATTTTTGTGCCTAAACTTGTTTTATATATTAGTTACTTGCCAAGGTAACATTCCTAATTTTTGTTTAAGTTTTGCAAGTTTGTTTTTAATTGAATATTTGCATTTTTTCTATTTAATTTCTGCTTTATTTCAGTTAACAAAAAGGATTTGTAATGGTTTTAGTTGTAGTTGACAGTAACACTGGTGTGAATGTGTGTCTCACCCTGTCTGTATGTGTTGTTCATCTTCTCTGTGAGCCACAGAACTGACTTCACTCCCAGTTTAGTGCCAAAATTCCTGTCGAACGGAGTGGGAACGCCACCCTAAACACACAAAACAACACGAAAACAAGGACTCAAATTCATCAAACCAACAACATGATGATTCCACCGGGAGCGTCTGATTGGTCGGGACGCTGGTCACATGATCACTAGATGGACGTCTCACCTGCTGCAGGTGACCCAGAACATTAACCCTGCAGTCGAAGACGCCTTTGCCCTCGGCGGAGTAGAGATTGTGGATGAAGTCAGTGGTGTAGTGCTTGTGACACTTCTCATTCCTGCAGAGAAGACAAATGAAGACAACTTTCAGTGAATCGCAGCAAAATAAAGGACAGAAGAGAATAATCAAGACTCATTATCACACGCACTGCAGCATCAGGTGTCATGTGATGCTTTACCTCAACACTAGTCCTCTCTGAATATCATTCTTCATTTTCTCCGTCAGATGCTCCACGTTTGTCTGAGAGGAAACCGTGAGAACTGGTTAAAAGCTCTGAATTTCTAAAACATTTGATATACGCTGAACTTGATCAAAACCACTTAAAGCACATTTAAACAGCAATAAAATGACATGAACAAACATAATGAATACAATTCAAACATCTAAAGAATCTGGAAGAGCTTGAGCTGTTTTCATGGGTTAAAATGATAATATACACTACAGGTCAGAAGTTTGGAATAATTATGGTTATTAATTAAGTCTCTTCTGCTCAGCAAGGCTGCATTTATTTGATCAAAAATACTGCAAAATTGTGAAATAATATTGTAATTTAAAACAGCCGTTTTCTATGTGAATATCTGTTAAACTGTAATTTATTTATGTGATCAAAGCGGGATTTTTTAGCATCATTACTCCAGTCTTCAATGTCACATGATCCTTCAGAAATCATTGATTTTTTCTAAAGAAATTAATACTTTTATTAATCTGTGATGCATTAAATTGATCAAAAGTGACGGTAAAAACATTTAGAATGTTACGAAAGTATGTCTATTTCAAATAAATGCTGTTCTTTTGAACTTTCTATTAATCTGTGAATCCTGAAAAATTAAATGCATCACGGCTTCCACAAAAATATTTGGCAGCACAACTGTTTTCAACATTGATAATAATCAGAAATGTTTCTTGAGCATTAAATCAGCATATTAGAATGATTTCTGAAGGATCATGTGACAATGAAGACTGCAGTAATGATGCTGAAAATTCAGCTTTGAGCACAGAAATAAATTACAGTTTAACAGATATTAACATAGAAAATAGCTGTTTTAAATTACAATATTATTTCACAATTTTTACAGTATTTTTGATGCAGCCTTGCTGAGCAGAAGAGACAGGGATTGTGATCTTGCCTCCAGCTCGTGGATGTTGAACGGCTCCTCAAAGATGTAGACGGCGTCTGCTCCCACGGCGATGCCGGTGGTGGTTGCTAGGTAACCACAGTATCCGCCCATGGTCTCCACGATGAAGACGCGGCGTTTGGTTCCAGATGCAGACTGCTTGATTTTATCACAACTCTGAGCAAACAGACAGAGAGAAAGCTGATTTCAGACTAGGGATGTAATGAATACTGGTTTGACGATAAATCATGATAAAATTCCCCACAGTTAGTATTACCATTTCATATTTTAATTATCATTAAAACCGTATTTGATTACTGTCTAGCATAAAGTACAGTTTTCAGTAACAGTCTCAAGAGCGCACAGCAGCAGAGGAGTTTCGTTTTGAGTGAAAACACGGAGGAAAAGCTGGGAGGTTTTAAAAGAGTGCTAAGGGAATTATGAAGACTGCAGTAATGATGCTGAAAATTCAGCTTTGAGCACAGAAATAAATTACAGTTTAACAGATATTAACATAGAAAATAGCTGTTTTAAATTACAATATTATTTCACAATTTTTACAGTATTTTTGATGCAGCCTTGCTGAGCAGAAGAGACAGGGATTGTGATCTTGCCTCCAGCTCGTGGATGTTGAACGGCTCCTCAAAGATGTAGACGGCGTCTGCTCCCACGGCGATGCCGGTGGTGGTTGCTAGGTAACCACAGTATCCGCCCATGGTCTCCACGATGAAGACGCGGCGTTTGGTTCCAGATGCAGACTGCTTGATTTTATCACAACTCTGAGCAAACAGACAGAGAGAAAGCTGATTTCAGACTAGGGATGTAATGAATACTGGTTTGACGATAAATCATGATAAAATTCCCCACAGTTAGTATTACCATTTCATATTTTAATTATCATTAAAACCGTATTTGATTACTGTCTAGCATAAAGTACAGTTTTCAGTAACAGTCTCAAGAGCGCACAGCAGCAGAGGAGTTTCGTTTTGAGTGAAAACACGGAGGAAAAGCTGGGAGGTTTTAAAAGAGTGCTAAGGGAATTATACAAATTAATATATGAATTAATTTTAATTACACTTGAACGAGTTGTGTTCAACCAAGTCTCAACCTTTCTCACACAGAACAACCTCCTGGACAGCAACCAATCTGGCTTCAGAAGTGGACATTCGACCGAGACTGCCTTGCTTTCAGTTGTTGAAGCCCTAAGACTGGCAAGAGCGGCTTCCATATCTTCTATACTTATTTTGCTGGATCCGTCAGCTGCTTTTGATACGGTGAACCACCAGATTCACCTGTCAACCCGATTGGAAAATGGCATCTCAGGAACCGCAGGCCAGTGGTTTGAGTCTTACCTCTCAGATAGGTCCTTCAAGGTATCTTGGAGAGGTGAGGTGTCCAAGTCGCAACATCTAGCTACTGGGGTGCCTCAGGGCTCAGTTCTTGGACCACTTCTCTTCTCGGTCTACGTGGCATCACTAGGTTCTGTCATTCAGAAACATGGCTTTTCATATCACTGCTATGCTGATGACACTCTACTCTACCTCTCATTCCATCGTGATGATCCGACGATAGCTGCTCGCATCTCCGCTTGTCTAACAGACATTTCTTGTTGGAATGACAAACCATCACCTTCAACTCAACCTGGCTAAGACAGAACTGCTTGTGGTTTCAACAAACCCATCACTTTATCAAAATTTCACCATCCAGTTAGGCACATCAACCATAACTCCTTCAAAAACAGCTAGAAACCTTGGAGATGTGATTGATGATAAGCTGGATTTCTATCAAACCTCTACAATTAATCCAAAATGCCGCTGCAAGATTAATCTTTAATAAGCCGAAAAGAACGCATGTCACACCTCTGTTCATCAATTGGCACTGGCTAGCAGTAGCTGCTCGCATTAAATTCAAGGTATTAATGTTTGCCTACAAAACCACCACTGGCTCTGCACCCATTTACCTAAATTCATTACTTCAGAGTTATGTGCCTCTAGAAGCTTGCGTTCTGCAAGTGAACGGCGTATTATTGTTCATCCCAAAGAGGCACAAAATCACTTTCACAGACTTTTTCATTAACTGTTCCCTCCTGGTGGAATGACCTGCCCAAATCAATCCCAGCAGTCCTTAACCATCTTCAAGAAACCACTAAAAACACATCTGTTACACCTTTATTTGACCCTCTAACTCTAGCACATTCTATTCTATTTTAATTCTACTTTATCTTCTTTTTTCTTTTTTTTTAAACAAAACAAAACAAAAAGAAACAAAAGAAAAACACTAGCTTTCTATTTTTTCTATTCTATCTACTTGTTTTTCTTTGTGTGTGTGTGTGTGTGTGTGTGTGTGTGTGTGTATATGTGTGTGTATATTATATATACACACACACACCTTGCTACGTGTACTGTGTTAGGCTAACCGAGACTTGTCATTTGCACTTATACATTGTTGCTCTTTTGTTAGTTTTGACTGCTTCTATTGTCCTCATTTGTAAGTCGCTTTGGATAAAAGCATCTGCTAAACGACTAAATGAAAATGTAAACTAATTCTGGTAGGTTCTGACCGTCTTCAGAACAGATTCAATGGCATTTTGTTTTCATCTTCACTCCATGTAAAACCTAATAAAGTAGTGTTTTAATCACAATGCTGCTTTGTGCAGCAGATTACGGGAAACAGCTGTAATTCTGCTGTTATATCAGAGATCAGAGAGTGGAGTTACAGAGACTTATATTTATATTCAGCTTGTGTGCAGCAGTTTCTGTCTGGCCAAAAAACGGACCGAATTTTCATGCCCTGCTGTAAATTTTGACCGGTTGATGAAAAACAAGCTCATGTGGATTCTACACATTTAAACAATTCAGATAACTTATCTAGAATTATTTATGGAGCAGATAAAATACCTATAATCATTTATTAATCAATTATCATTTTCACTTAATCCTTTTCTTTATTTAAAGGCTGAAATTTGAGGTTTACCTCTTTGTGAAACTTTTTCAAAGTTTTTTTATTTTTTATTTAAACACTTTGAACATGCTATTAGAAAAACTGTTGTCAGTCATGTTGTCATTTAAAGGCACAATATGTAATTTTCGCCGCTGGAGGGCACGTATTCAAAATAAACAAAGAGACAAAGGCATAGTTTGATGACGGCGTGACTGAGTGTGGAATCAAAATATATAACACTGTTCTAGTGGTTTTTGGATATTTTAATAAAAAAAATCTTACATATTGTGCCTTTAATATCTGGACATCATTGGCAATGTTACTGTTTTAGTGTTTATGCAAACAAAGTAATTTTATTTATTGTTTGTTGATTTTAAATATGAAACTTGGTGAAGTGATTTATGTGTTTTTGAAAGCACATTTTAACAATACCGTGATAATACGGATAACGGTGATAATTTAGGACACTATAATCGTGATAAGAAATTTTCATACCGTTACATCCCTATTTTAAACTCAGGACTGACCTGTGATCAGCCGTATCTCACCTCCATGGCGGCGTTCACGGCTGTGTCTGCTCCCAAACTGAAGTCTGTGCCTGGCACGTTGTTGCTGATGGTGGCGGGAACCACACACATAGCGATACACAGTTCATCATAGCGGCCTCGAGCCTCAACCAGCTGCAGAACTCCTTCATACGCCTGCAGGAGACAAACACAGTTATCACACACACACACACACACACAGAGAGAGACAGCCACACACACAGAGACACACACACACACACACACACACACACACACACACACACACTCACTCACAGAGACACACACACTCACAGAGACACACACACTCACTCACAGAGACACACACTCACTCACAGAGACACACACACACTCACTCAGAGACACACACACACTCACTCACAGAGACACACACACACTCACTCACAGAGACACACACACACACACACACACACACACACACACACAAAGACACACACACACAACCACACACACACACACAGAGATACACTCTCTCACACACACACACACACACACACACTCAGTCCGTACCTCAAATCCACCAATCACCAGCAGCGACTGGATGTTGTATTTGCGGATATTGGCCACGATGTTCTCCATGCAGGAGTTGGGAAGAGTTCTGAACAAATATAAAAACACAAATGAATGCATTAATACATTCATAATACATTAATTAAAGCAATTCCAACCATTGAGAAAAGTCTGTTTAAGAGCTGTTTAAAGACAACATTTTACTTTAATATGAAAAATTACAATATATATAATATAATTCAATGAATGAAAAATAAATTTGTTCTAAATAAATAATATTAGTATCATTGATACTATTATAGTTTTTATTAATAGTTTGAATCAGTTTTTATTTTTCTATTTTCATTTACATTTTTGTTAAAGTTTTAGCAATTTTGTTGTGTTGTTGTCATTTTTTGTTTTTTGTTTTTACTTCAGTTTTAGTTATTTGAGTACATCAAGTTAAAAATAAATAAAAATGAGAAATGTTGCCTTGTCAACCACCTGAAATATTTTTTTATTTCAGTTAACATTTATTTTATTCCAAGTAGGTTTTAATTTTAGTTTCACTTAACTATAATAACTCCGTTAATAAACAAATAAAACGCAATGCAAACCATTGAGAAAAGTAAAAAAGAATCATTTAGAAGTAACTATTCTGTGGATCGTAACAGTATTCATTTGAAGCTGCTTCATGTTTTAATGATGAAAAAGTTTCCAGTCAAGAGTATTTGATTTTTTTTAAACTAAAAGTGAAAGTGTAGCATGAAGCAATGGAATCTCAGCCAATCAGAGTGTGTTTGTGTTATTTAATATGCAAATATGGGGAGCGAGAGGGACCAATGAGATTGTACTGTGGGCGGGGCTTATCTGACTGACAGAACAGACACAGAAACCAAGCAACTTATGAAACATCTTGCAGCCTGTGGCTTGTTGTCTGATCAGAACACAAACATCATGGTGGATGAAGTGTTACGTGTTGCTCGAGGCTCAAGATGTTCAGTCTGGTTAAGACACAGAGAGAAAGAGATGCACAGAACTGACCGTTTGGTGCCCAGCAGTGAACCGCCCTGCCCCGTCCATCCAGCCACATCATGCCAGTGAACCTCAGTCACCTGCAGGAGTACAGCAGAGCTCAGAGAAACCTCACACACTTACATTTAGTCATTTAGCAGACGCTTTTATCCAAAGTGACTTACAAATGAGGACAACAGAAGCAATCAAAATCAACAAAACAGCAATAAAATAACATGTAGCAAGGATACATATACAGTATATTATACATACATACCACACACACACACACACACAGGGATTTAAATTAAATTTTTCACTCACCAGCCAATTTGGCTACTAAATTTTTAAGTTACCAGCCATTCATAAATTCTACTAGCCAAAAAAAAAAAAACAGAAATAAACCAACAGCTTGAGGCTGTCTACACTGGACATGACAAAGCTACTGTTGCAAATCATATTGTGTCAGTACTAGGGTTGTGCCCTATTGACAAAAAATAATATCTCTATTTTCTGGGATTTTATCGATAAAGATAATTAGACAATACTTTGCTGTGTTATTGTGCTGATATCTTAAAGGTCCCATATTTTACACATTTCTGGAGATTTATTTGAGGTTTTGATGTCCTTAAGAATATATATTTGCGGTATAAGTACCAAAAACCATCAAATATATTTGTACAGCTCCACTCTCAGGAGCTCTGCTGAGAACAGGTCGATTTTGGCCCGTCTAATTAATATTCATGAGCCTCTCTTCTGATTGGCCTGTTGTGTTCTGAGTGATGCACGGCCAGGCCAACCACAGGTAACTAGGGTCAGCGACGTCACAGCGCTAGCTGGAGGGGAAACTGGAGGCGGCCCACTCAAACCAGCGCAGGTTTGGCTACATGAGGAGCTTAAAATATCATCTTGTTGTGATGCTGGGTGCCAGAATCGGCGTAATACAGCCTCAAATTACAAATTTTTTTAGACACCTCAAATTAGACAACTTTGATGAAAGGTTTTGATCCACATGAAATGTTGACTACTGTATATATAAATAAATAAATAAATATATATATCTTTACGTGAATGAGAGTAGTTGTGAATCACAGGTGTTTTATATATGAGATGAGGACATGACTGCAGCCGAGACCAGCACATCCAGTGCAAGAAGACTTTGACTTTTTAATTGTACTTATTTTATTTATCCGTTATACTGAAGAGACCTTTTTGCTTAGTCTTATTTTGGTTTTAGAAAATGAACATGATTGCTCTCCTCTCAATGTTCTCTGTGCCTTGTCTTGGACTTTTATGTCACTTCCTGTCTGCCGTAGTGTTTGTAGTCAGTTTGTAGTCCGTTTGTTCATTGGTTCCCATTGTTTAGGTGTAAATAGGCCTCTAGTGTTTCTTTAGTTGTTTGTGAGTTGTTGAATGTAATGGTTGTCTGTTTGCTCGTCATTCTGTTCTTTGTTCCCCTTGGTTTATTGCTTGTTCTAGTTTTTCCATTAAATACCTGCACATATATCCTTGGCTCTGCATCTTTGAACCTATATTTAGTAGAAGTCAAATACTTAAGTACTGTTAAAATCAGATACTAGAAGACTTTTACTCAAGTTGTTTTGGAATTGGTGACTGGTGACTTGTAGTGGAGTAATTTTCACTGCAAGGCATCTGTACTTTTTACTCAATTATGGTTTTCATGTTTACTCTTTACACCTCTGTTACACACACACACTCACGCTCACACTCTCACTCTCACGCTCACACTCTCACTCTCACGCTCACACACACACTCTCACTCTCACGCTCACACACACACTCACACTCTCACGCTCACACACACACTCACACTCTCACACACACACACACACACTCACACTCTCTCACACACACACACACTCACTCATATACACACACACTCACTCATATACACACACACACTCACTCATATACA